CCACATTTCTGGCCCCACTCCGGAGCCCACACCCCCTCCTGCACCCCAACCCTCTACCCCAGCCCAGTGAAAGTGAGTGAGGGTGGGGGAGAGCGAGCCAGTGAGGGAGGGGGAATGTAGTGAGTAGGGGTAGGGCCTCAGGGAAAGGGCAGGATAGGGGCAGGGCCTCAGGAAGGAGGGGCTATGGTGTTTGGTTTTGTGCAACTAGAAAGTTGGCAACCCTAGGGCACCCAGCTGTGCCCAGTGAAGGAAACAAGGCCTGCTACAAAGGGGACAGAGCAGCGGAGAGGCAGAAAGGCCTGGGACAGTGGAGGGACAGCACCCCTGCTCCAGGTTGCCTCCCTGATCACAGCTCAGAGACTGAGGCAAGCTTCCGGACTCAGTCAGAGACAAAGAACTGCCCTGCTGGGGCAAACTAAGGGGACCCAGCGAGGGTAGCAGCAACCCCGCCCAGGACCACACCTCGAGCTGGTGACAACTGGTCACTGGAATTCCTGCCTCTGGGTGGCAGCCCTGGCAGCCAGCTGCTCTGGCCCTGGTGGCCCAAGCAGGGCTTTCTGACACACCCGGGGAGGGATCCTGCCTCCCACTGTGCCAGGCCCAGCAGGGGAGCTGGGAGTACCTGCGGCCCATGCCAGGACAGGCTGGTGAGCGTGCAGACAGCCAGGCCTGGCTGGTGTCGGTGGAGCTAGCTCACCGGTGGGGTCTGCCAACTGCCCCACACACAGGCTAGCACCTGCCAGGAAACTCGGTTGCTGATCCTGCCTTCTCTCCCCCCACTCTGGAGAAGAGCCAGCTGCCACCCCACTGCCATCCCCAAGTCTTGGCGTGTGCTAGTTACCCCACAAGCCTCTACCACCGCTGGGGCCCACCTGCTGAGCCAGCCCTCCCCAGAGTAACTAGCTCCCCTCGCTGAGCCAAGGGGTCTCCTTGCCACCCACTTGCCCTTCATCCCTCTTCTGTCCTGGGCCTCAGGATTATCCCTCCCCCCTCAAGATTCCCTTCTCCTGCCCCCTCCTCCCAGGCTTCTGCCCTCTCCTACTTCCCGACCTCCCTGTATCTCTTGGACCCTCTCCCAGCGGGCCCCTCCTTCCCCAGGAGCTGCTGGCGCTTGCTCCCGTTCTAAACCTACCCCCACCCCAGACGAGTGTGTCTGCCCCCAGGGTGCTGCTGCCCCCTTGGTGCCCATGACTCAGATCTGCCTCTGCCATAGCTCCCCTCCCCTGCTGCCAAACCCCATTGTTCTTCCCCATCCCCTTGGGATCAGCTCTCTCCGGCCCTGGGTGCCTCATGCCTCACCTGAGGGTTGCAGCCTTCTCTTCCTCCCCTCTCCTGTCCAGCCCATTCTGCCCACTGCAGCCAAACTCTCCTCCCTTGGCCCACCATGGGGATCCTGTCTGCTCCCTGCTCAGAGGCACCCACCAGCCTCCGCCCACAGCAAGCCCATGTGCCTCATCCTCTTCCTGAAGACTCTGCCTGGTGCTGCCCTGGCATAACCCCCGGCACACCCATTCCACCAGCTCCATCCACCTCTCCGAGCCCTTGTCTGCTCTGGGTCGCGTCACTGAGTCATCTTCCCCAGGGATCATCCTGCAGGACCAGCCTCTCTGACCCAGGACAATGAACCCCATCCATAGCCTCGTCCTCACACTGCCCTTCTCGCTGCCAGCTGTCCGCTCCTGCTGGCCTCATCCATCCCCTGCTAGCTGCCTCTGAGCAGACACCACCACTCTTGGGATTTGCCTGCAAAATGCTGTGTGCATCGATGCACTGGAGCAATAACATTGTTGGCATTTGAGAGCCGCTACCTTTCTCCCCAAAGGGCCCAACCCTGCAGACCCACACGCACGGGAGCAGCCCTCGCCCTACGCTCCAGTGGGACTGCTCCCCGAATGAGGGTCACCATGCCGGACTGGACCTGGTAGTGCGTCATGCGCAGTGGAAGGAAGGGGAAGGTGTTGGAGGTTCAGGAATTGGACTGTGGAGGTTGAGCATGGAGTGGAAGGGTATGTCTACACTACAGGATTAATCCGAATTTAGATAATTCGAATTTGGGAAACAGGTTGTATAAATTCGATTGTGCGCGGCCACACTAAGCACCTTAATTCGGTTTTTAACCACATTAATTCGGTGGTGTGCGGCCACACTACCCCATTAACTGAAACACAGTAATTCGGTGGTGTGCGGCCACACTAACCCTAATTCGAATTAACAAAATCGATTTAGGCTCTACTCCGTTCGTCGAGGTGGAGTACAGAAATCGATTTAAAGGGCCCTTTAATTCGAATTAACTGGCTCTGTAGTGTGGACGGGTGAAGGGTTAATTCGGATTAACGCTGCTAAATCCGAATTAATCCCGTAGTGTAGACCAGGCCGAAGGCTGGCCCCTACCCTGAGAGCCAGATGACCAGGATTCAGTTCCCAGCTTTGGTTCGCTCCCTGTGTGAGCTTTGGTCTGTCGCTGTGCCTCTGTTCCCATCTGTAGAACAATAATTATACCTTGTAGAGAGCATCAGTGGCTCTCAACACATGGCATAATTGTGCATTTCCCTTGCACCGCTGTGAGGCAGGGCAGGACTAGCATCCCCACTGCACAGAGGCTAAGTGACTTGTCCAGGGTCACACTGGAAGCCTGTGACAGCCCAGGAAGTTCACCATGGGTGAACCTACCCTAGTACAACTCTTGTGCATGGGAGGGTGGGGCATGAGGATCAGTCTCTTCTGGATTGGGGGCTCAGATTTGCTGGTCATGGGGGCCAGATACCCAAGATAGCAACGGAGCCTTGAAAGGCAGAGGGAAGGCTGCCCTTCTCAAACCAGGTCACTGACACTCCAAAACTCAACCCCCTGGAGACTCACCGTGCTGGTTGTGGCAAAGGGGGGCCCAGGTTTGCATGGAATGGGAGCTCTGGCTGCTGAGCTCTTGTAGGCCAAGGTTCAGGGCAGATGAGGCAATGACTGGTAGGGTTGTGAAATCTGCCAGGGAGGACGTGGTTTATAGCTGCACTGTGCAGATCCTGGAGTCCAGATTTCTCCACTGGGCAGCAGACATTGACTGCTCCCAACCATCTCCCCACTCCCCAGCCCTGCGCGGTGTTTATGGAGAGCTCCCTGTGTGCCCTAGGTGCCTTTCACACTCATGGGCCCGCAGTGAGCAAGGGAAGGAAAGATCCTCCAAGTCCCAGACAAATCCTTCTTCTCCACCCTTAGAGCTGGGGGCCCGATTTCCCGCTCCCTGTGGTCTCTTGAGACAGGTCAGTGACTGCCACCTGCTAGTCACACTCCCTGTTCCCCAGGGACACGTCTCCCAGCAGGCCGAGAGGACAGCCAGGGCTGCTCTACCCTTTCCTCTTGGCCCAGGCTGCCTGGCGGTTCGGGGGGGGGAGATCTTACCGCTGCAGCTACACCGAGGGGATAGGATCAAGGTGCCTCATACCGCTATAGCTTATTCCCCTTATCCGTGCTGGGGCAGGGCCCAGGAGCCAGCTGTGGCCACGGACAAGCACGTGGTGCTGGCTCGGCCTGGGCCCACCACTGGCACCATCCGGGTGCAATTCCAAAGTCTGCTTGGGTCAGTGGCACATTGCAGGGCTGCTGGCGGCCCTTGCCCCGCCGGGCCATAGCACCCACTTTATTAACCCCACACGGGACATTTGTTCTGGGCTGTAGTATTGCAAATTCCTGAAAATAAGAACAACTGATAATCATTGTAAAGCACCGCATGACAGCTGCACATCCAGCTGTGCCAAGCACGTTCAGGCTGCAACAGAGACAGTTTGGACTACAACGAAGATCGTTTGGCATTTCAGAGACAGTTAACGGGTCCTGGTGCGGTTCACAATGGAACCTGGCTTTAACCTCAGACTCTGGACCCAGCCCTTTCCCGCTCTCATCCTCTGCTGCCACCTCGTGGCTATCTCCCCACAATAAAACTACCGTCGTTTCTCTGCAGCCTTTATTCAATGGTGTTGGTTTCCTCCTCCAGCCCCATCCCAGGATCCGGTGCCATGGTCATGAACATAGATCAGCTGCTGAGCTGGCTCCGAAAACCCAGACGCAGGGACAGGCAAACTGCCTGTGATCCGGGCTTGGGTGAGATCCAGGGAATACCTAGGGGCGGGAGAGGCCGGCACTGACTAATGGAGACCTGGGGGTGAATCCTTCTGGGGTTGGGGACCCAGCCACCCTGCCCTCCCCAGGGTGACCAGGCCGACATAAGGCAACGTGAGGGCCTCCTCACTTTGGAGCCCAAAGGGCCTTTTCTTCCTGTCCAGGTGCTCCCTGTCCCCCAGATCCCCAACAGGCCTGTGAAGGACCTGGCTGGGAGATGCTGGCGTGGAGACGCCAGAAGCAGGGGAAAGCTGGAAGACAGCAGGGAGAGGGACCACACCAAGGGGCCAAGCTGCTGGGCAGTACGGCCCTTCCTGCCCATGGCAGATTGCCCTGTGTGCCCTGCCCACCAATGCCTCTGAGAACTTGTCCCTTGGGGAGCCAGGCAGAATGCCTGGGCCTGGCAGATGGCTGGGGCAGAGGTGGAGCCAGCAGGTTCTGAGGTGCACAGGCAGCGACCCCTGGCTCAGAGACCTGGAGGCCAGGGATAGGGGGGTGGGTATGGAGCAGTGGAGATGCCACCTCAGTGCTCTGGGAATAGTCTAGTGATGGAGAAAAGAGGGGAAGTGCTGCAGGAGGAACCAGGGGTCCTAGGAGCCCAGTGCAGACTGAGCACCTACCCCTCCCCTGCCTCACCATGGAGGCAGCGCAGTGGTTTGAGCATTGGCCTGCTAAACCCAGGGTGTGAGTTCAATCCTTGAGGGGGCCACTTAGGGATCTGGGGCAAAAATCAGTACTTGGTCCTGCTAGTGAAGGCAGGGGGCTGGACTAGATTGGCGATTGGTCTTGCTTTGAGCAGGGGGTTGGACTAGATGACCTCCTGAGGTCCCTTCCAACCCTGATATTCTATGATTCTATGACTCGATGACCTTTCAAGATCGCTTCCAGCTCTATGAGATAGGTATATCTCCATATATATTCCCTCCCCCCCCCCCAAACTGAGAGATATACCTCAGGAATGAAGAGGAGTGTCCCAACAGGGGAGGGAAGCAGGACGGTGTGGGGAGGCTGAGAAGTGGCAGGTGAGGTAGAAGCGCTGGCTGGAGGCTGTAGTGAGGAATGCGTGTCCAGGTGGGGTGGCCCCTCAGTAGCAGGGGTCTCCATTGGGTCCTGGTCACAGCGCCAGGCATCTCGGGAAGCTTTAGGGTCTCTAAAATCTGCTATTTAACAACCCCATTAATGTGCTTTCCCTGCGTTGGGGGGCAGAGGGCTCTGCTTCCCAAGGGTGTCCCTTTCCCGCCATCCTCCACGCACATCGGGAGGGCGGGGGGTGTTCTGATCGGAGCCGGGAATGCTCTGGGCATGGCTGGCATGGCACAGCACCCATCAGTAGGTCTGCGGTGTCAGGATGAAGAGTCGGTCCTCTTCCCTGCGGATCCACTTCATCAGCTTGTTGACAGCGCTGACGGCGGCTGCCTTGGTCCCCAGGGGGCTGTAGCACAGGTAGAGCTCAAAGGCACTGGTCACCTAGGGGAGAGATGGGAGCCAATCCCAGTCAGTGCCTGGGCACAGAGCCTGCCTCCAGATGCCAGGAGGGGTCCAGGAGGATGGCCCAGCGATGAGGTCACTAATCTAGGAGATGGGGATTCAATTCCTTGCCCTGTTACAGATCTTGGCCCAGATCACGTAGTCTCTCGGGCCTCAGTTTCCCCATCTCAGCAAGGGGAGGGCAGCACTGCTGCATGGGAGGGTTATGAAGACACGTACATTAGAGACTGCAAGCGGACAGGGTTTTCCACCTCCTAACTGGGGAGCAAAGGTGGTTGGCACATTTCAGTAATTAACATTTTCCATTCTGCTTATGAAAGTTTAAACCCTGTAAGGGCCATCCCTTCCCCCTGGGAGCTCCCTGGATCTATACAAAAAAACGATGGATTTAACCTTTCCATCCCAGGGAGATGCCCAAGTTATGCCCACTCATGCCTTAGACCAGCAGCTACTTTTCCTAGAACGCAGCAACCCTCATCTATAACATGGAGATGAGGCCTGTGGAAAGGCCTTGCTGCGCTGCATACTGGAAACTATCTCAGCTCAACATGGAGCATTGCATGCTGCAATGGGTGCACGCTGCAATGGGTACATGCTGGCACATCAAGGACTCCGACAAGGCTAGGACTCTCCCACAAAAGCCAGAGCAGGGGGCAACCCCCAGCTTGCAGAACAACACTAGAAGTCTTCTGCCGTGTATTCACATTGTATCACCACGGGGTCCCGCAGCATCATTGTGCTACAACCTAAAGGTCTCACAGCTGTTTGTGTGAGGATGCACGCTAGAGATGGCCTCTCAGAGGAGCAGCAAGAGAGTACGGCGGCAAAGAAGGGCATTGACAAATTGGAGCGGGTTTGGAGAAGAGCCAGGAGGCTGATTAAAGAATTGGAGAACCTGCCTTATGGTGAGACAAGCAAGGAGCTCAATCAATTTAGCTTAACAACAAGAAAGTGAAGGGGTGACTAGAATCACAGTCTGTAAGTACCTACAAGGGGAACAGATATTTAACAATGGGCTCTTCAGGCCAGCAAGTCTAACACAGACCAATGGGTGGAAGCTGAAGGTAGGCAAATCTAGACTGGAAATAAGGCGTACATTTTTAACAGTAAGGGGAATTAACCATGGGAACAACTTACCCAGGGTTGTGGTGGGTTCTCCATCACTGACCATTTTTAAATCCAGATGGGATGTTTTTCTATAATATCTGCCCTAGTTCAAACAGCAATAATTGTGGGGCAGTCTCTACAGAGGGGGGCAGATTAGATGGAATCATCTATGAAACCCTTGGTTACCGTGTAGATCATGGTTGTCACTGTGCTGCAAAACCATGGCCATTTGGAACTCCGTGGTGGGGACAGTGCTGGAACTCAGATTGGCCTGCCAAAAGCCTAGGACTCTGCCACTTGAACTAAAGGAGATTCCCCTGAGCAGCAAACAGTATAGGGCTTGTGACACACACTGAGCAGTTCTTATTTTCTCTCTCTCCCCCATGTATTTTCCAGGCACTTATCCTGACTGTGTGTTAGTATCCAGGTTCCATGCAGTGGAAATTCCATGCAGAAGTCAGAGGAACATACACGCTAGCCAGACCACTTCAGTGTACTCTCTCTCTCCTATCTCAGCTTGTTATCCCCATCCTGGCATGTGGGTCTTTGCCCCCTCTAGTGGCTGGTCCTAATAAGAGGAGAAAAGTCTACTACTGTTGCCAGCATTAATCCTTTAGCTCAAATGACAGAGACTTGGCTGGTCCACACTCTTTAGATGTGGGGCAGCTGATGGAAGGATGAGTGGTTCTTACCCAAGCCAGGAGATTTTCGCTGGGTCCTGTGAAGTAGATGTTTTTCAGGGGGCGGGAGAAGTTGTGGGCACGGCTGTGCAGGTACTGGTATAGCTCCAGCAGCCTCTGCTTCTCCTCCTCGCTGACATAGGGAGCCTCAATCTCAGGGCTGGAAAAAACAAATTGCCCTTTGATTAACCCCCCAGAACATTAACCTGACCAGGGTAAGCTCCACGCAACAGAGCAATGGAACTCTTTGTCCCAGGACAACTGCAGTGGGTCACACAAAGCTACTGAACCCAGTGGGCAGCACGTGCAACCGACCTGCATACCTTGCAGGGTGATGGAGATCACCGGTAGCCAGCACCCACCCATGTCTGCCAGCTTGTTGCAGGTGACTCTGATGGAAATTGCACACTTGCTGGCACCTGCCTGTCACTGCCAGCTCCTCTCAAGGAAACTCTTGGACCCAATGAAGGACCCAGCATGGGGCGCTGTGAAGAGCAGCTAGCCTGCAAGGTGAGGAGGAGCATGTCCTTCTCCAAGCCCTGTCTCTGGTGCAAAGAGGTCTGGGTAATGTAATATTCAAATGAACACACAGGCCTTGCTAGACCACTGCAGTGGAGACCTTCCTGGTGTTTGCTTTTTGCCAGGATTTGCCATGGAGGCCTCTCTACGCCCCCCAGCCCATACCAGTCTTCAAGCCATGCACAAGGGGACCTTCTGGATGGCATTGCCCTGGAATCCTGGCAGCTGTTCCTAGACCAACCACAGGGCTCCCTGCGGATCAGTGCCACCCCCAGTGGGGGACAGTCCAGGACCCAAGGTGTACGGGTCTGGGGGATGGGTGTAAGTGAGCCCTCCAGAGCAATCCATTAGGAAGACGGCTGCAGTTGGAGTCACACACTGCAGCCTGGCTGGATGTTCCCCCTCCCATCATGCCACCAGTGATGCAACTCCCCGAGCTGGAACAGTGCTGGGAGCACTAGTGCAGACAGGGTCTAGACCCATCTGGCACCAGCTGCCTGGAGCCTGGCCTACCTTGGCCAGCAGCGGGAAGCTGCACTGTTGGGAGCAGCACTGGGAACATGAGGCATTCAGGCTGGTGTGGCGGGTGTCTTCTCCCAAGCACCAATCACTGTCAGGGTGGGAAAGCTGCTTCGTGAGCTCCCTGACTCTGGCTGCAGGGCACCCCCTTGGAGCTGCCACCCTCGAGCCCTGTGCCAGGCCTGCAAGGATCCCCTCTGCACTGAGTGCCCCCCACAGTCCGCTGCTCAGGGCACACCTGGGAGAGACCCACCCTGCCCCCCAATGACACACCCCAGGGCTTCGTGTGTCCCTGACCTGCAGTGTGGTGCATGAGGTGCCATGTGTGGCTCTAATGCAATGCCAGCTGTAAGCACAAGTGGTGGCTCTGAGGCACCGTGAGACTCACAGGCTGACCCAGGCACCATCAGTCCCTGATACCAGCTTAGTGGCAGTCCAGGATCTGGCAGGCAGGGAAGCAGCCCTGGCTGGCACTGATTGTCATGGCCACAGCTGGGAGCTACCCCTGTGTTCTGATGGCACAGAGCAGCTCCAAGGACTCATCCCAGCCATGCGTGTTCCCCTTGGCTCCGCGTCCGGCGATGGAGACCACGCCCACCTCGACTCTCACCTGGTGAAGAGCCCCGAGCTCTTGGATTTGTAGATGAAGTGTCTGAGGTCCGGGATCCCCACTTGGGAGACGCTGTAGAAGGGGGTGCGCAGCGCCTCCTGCAGGGCATGGGACACGCCACGCTTCCGCAGGCGCTCCTGGAAGCGGCGCTTGCAGTCGGAGACAGTGAAGAAGTCCTCACGGTCGGTGGAGACCAGGAGCAGGCACAGGTCCATGTCCTGCTCCAGGTATGAGATGTGGGCATGGAAGAAGCCGCTGGAGTTGAACTTGGGCAGGCAGATAGGAGTCCAGGCCTCGCCCTCACGAAAGGAGGAGGAGGAGCTGATGAGGTTGAAGAGTAAATGCAGGTCAATGGGATGCAGGAACTGGTCCTTTCTCCTCACCAGAGACACCAGCTGGTTCCTGGACAGCAGGATGGAGAACACCAGGCTTTTGGCCTTGGCCTGCTGGAGGCAGGTGCTCACGGTGTCCCTGAGCCCCGCTGCCATTGGCAGGCAGCGCGCGGCACCCATCAGGAAGCTGGGGTCCCGAGCCATCAGGTCCAGCAAGTTGTCAGTGATGCGCTCGGAGCCCGCCAGCAGCCTGCGTAGGTCATAGTTCTGCTTCTGCTGGAAGATGTGGTTGAGCTGGGTCCAGGTGAGCAGGCTGAGGATCTGGTAGTAGATGTAGAGGAGCTCATGGGCAATCTCCTGCTCCGACTGCCGCGTTCGGGCCATGGCCACCAGCACCAGGGGGCTCCGGCGCACAAAGACCACCTTGTAGCCATCTGCCCAGCGTGGGAGGAGAGAGAGGGACACGTCAGCCCAGGGCAGCGCGCCGCTGGGAAACACCAGGGAGCTCTCGTGGCTCCGGAGGGTCAGCGAATGAGGCCACGTCTACGCTACAGGAACTACTATGCTGGTGCAACCCCGTACCACAGACTACATGAACCGATGGGTTTAGGAATACCACCTTCCTGAGTGATAGTGGGTAGGTCTTCTGTTGGCCTAGCTGCGTCTACACCAGGGGTTAGGTTGTCGTAGTTACGGGAAGCGCCATAGCTACGACGACCTAACCCCTGTTGTAGACGCACCTAGGCCAATAGAAGACCTAGCTTCCGTCTCTATGCAGCTAATCAACTTACATTTTCAGTGTCAGTCAGGCCTGAGAAGCAAGGATGGCTGTCCTTGCAGTGAGGTGGACACTGAGAGTAAGCTCCTCCAGCAATCCAGTATTCCTGGACCTAGCCAGGGAAGGGAAACCCAGTGCTTCCCCTGCACTGTGTCAGAGCCACAGGCTTTCGTATGCCCTTTCCAGGGAGACACCAACACACAGGCCCTTAGTCTCCTCATCTGCCTCCCTCTGTAACCATCTCACAGTGCCCCCAATTTGCACGCACATTTAAAGCACTCACCAACAGCGGATGCCCGGATTCGCACACGCCGCTGTGGTAACTGCACTTGCAAATCAGGCAGCTGTGTGTGCAGCTGGAGGCCGGGCCCAGCGCCTGTCCTGCTCCCAGGACAGCAGTGAGCTCCTGTCCAAGCCAGTGCTCCGGCCGCTCTGTGCAGCAGTCGACAGCGGAGCATCACATTTAAGGTACAGCTAATACTCCCCGAGGCAGCATGTGCCATCAAGTGGCCCCTGCCTGCAATGGTACCTGCATGGATAGACCTGATGGCATTCTTCTCTGCCTCCAGGAAGGACACCAGGGCCATCATCACTCCCATGGTGCTGGACAGCGCCTCCTCTGAGCCGTGGCGGGAATACACTGGCTTGCCCGCCTCGCTCAGCACGAACACATGCTTCTGATGCATGCGCCAGGTCTCCATGGTCACGTCCTCATCCTCCTTCTCTGACCGGGCTGAGTCCCTCCGGGCCGTCTGCAGGGAGAGATCCATCTTGTCCTCCTGGCTCGGCCTCATCTCCTCCTCCAGGTCTAACGCCATGCCTGTCAGCTGTGTGCTGAGCTCACTGAAGTCCTTGCTGATCTGTTCTATGCTGGTCTGGTCTGCCTGGTCCCCTCGCCCTTCCTCAGAGCTTCTGGACGCGACGTCTCCATCCTCAGGGCTCGTCAGGTCCTCGTAGGACCGGGTGTGAACAAACATCGCCCCCTCCTGGCCTGCCCCTGGAAACCAAGACACCGGAGAGCTTTAGCCTCTCCTCTCCAGCGCCAAGATGACTGCTCTAAGACAAGCTAGGACAGCCGACTGGATGGTGGAGAGAAATGAGCCAGACCCTGGGAGACACCACAGATGGAGGGGAACCCCACTCGACCCCTGCAGGACCAATAACAAAGTCAGGCCCCATTCCCCCCGCTAGAGAGAGGCCAATACCCCAAGTCTCCGAACCCCACCCTGTGTTAGAGCCCCATCTCTGTAGCAGAGCAGGCCCACTCCTAAAGCAGAGCCAGCACCTCTGATGCCTGCACCCAGGGGCCCGGCTGGCTCAGTCTCTCATGGCCGTCGGGCTGTACAGACACCTGCAAAGAGAAACCAACATGGCTGACCATAGAGCCTAGCTGTCCTCTGACTGGTGCCACAGAATGGCGCTGCCGGACCTATCTGTGCCCTACTGGGGTTGTGCCATGCCAGCTGCACACACAAAACCCCTGCACCCCTGGTGATGCTGGCAGGCCAGATACCAGCTTTTTCCCAAGCTGCAGGCATTAGCTAAGAACTGACAAACTCATAGCTGGAGACCAGACTACTTCACCTGTATGGTAGTTTTCCTCAAAAGAGGTATTACATTCTTATAAGACATTGGTTGTTTAGACCAGGGGTCTCAAACATGTGGCCCGGGGGCCGCATGCGGCCCGCGGGGTTGTTTTCTGTGGCCCGCGAGCTCCTCGCGGCCCCCCCGCCCCCCCCTCCCCAGCGTTTACCTAGAGCGGCTCCAGGCTGACGCACACCGGGGGAAGGGCGGGCTCCCTGCCTCCTGCCGCTCCGGGAAGAGGCCGGAACGTGGGGAAGGGGGGGGCACAGGGCTCTGTGTGTTGCTCTTGCTTCAGGCAGCGCCCCCAGCAGCTCCCATTGGCCGCAGTTCCCCGTTCCCGGCCAATGGGCGCTGCTGGGGGTGGTGCCTGAAGCAACAGCAACACACAGACCCCTGTGCCCCTCCTCCCGCAGGTTCCGGCCACTTTCCCGAGTGGTGTGGGGACAGGCAGGCAGGCGGCCTGCCCTGCCCCCGGTGCGTGTCGGGCCGGAGCCCGCCCCCCGAACCCCTCCTGCAGCCCAAACCCCTGCTGTACCCCGCACCCCTCCTGCAGCCCAACCCCCTGCTGTACCCCACACCCCACCACACCCCACACCCCTCCTGCCCTCCCTGGGGGCAGGAAGGGGGCAGAGTTGGGGTGGGGATTTCAGGGAAGGGGTTAGAATGGGGGCAGGGCCTCATGGAAGGGGTGGAGTGGGGGCGGGGCCAAGGGTGGCAGTGGGAGGTGTCAGTAATGCGGCCCTCGGCCAATGTACTAGTCCTCATGTGGCCCTCGTGGTCATTTGAGTTTGAGACCCCTGGTTTAGACTCTATGAAATGCTTGTAAATTGCTGCCTGCATTAATCTTGCTTGCAATGTCTGTATCCCAGGCTATAAGAAGAGAGGTAAGCTTTGGTTTATAACTTTGAAAATGTTTGCTCTGAATTTGTGAACCCAGGCACAGGAATTGTCCCCCCACCCTTCCAGAAGGACTATAAAAATCAGACGGGCCATCAAGAAACATCGCAATACAAAGGATTAGTTAACGGTCCTATCTGCACCTTGGAAATACTACCTGCAAGGAAGCTCGTCCTGCGGACTTGGAAGCTGAATGAAGAAAATAAAACCAAGTCACAGGAAAGTTTTCCATCTTTTTGGCTGTTTGAACTCTGAAGGGCCAGAGACTCTAAGGCCATGTCTATGTGACCACTTTTGTCGGTATAACTTATGTCGCTCAGGGGTGTGAACAAAACACACCCTGAATGACATGTTACACTGACAGAAGTGCCATTGTTGACAGCACTGTGCTAGTGGGAGAGCTTCTCCCGCTGACACAGCTACCACTGCTTGTGGAGGTGGTTTTATTATGTCGACGGGAGAGCTCTCTCCCGCCGGCATAAAGCGGCTACACGAGGACTCTTACAGCGGCGCAGCTGCACTGGGACAGCTGTGCCGCTGTAAGCTCGCTAGTGTAGACATGGCCTAACCTGAAGCCAGAGATCCTCAGGGGGTGCCTCCTGAGTCCACCCTGAAAGAGACTTTGAATTGCCAGATCACTACAACTCGTTCACTCTTAGAATTAGACGGTAACTCATTGGGGTGGATATGTTCACTATTAACCTGTAAATAACTCCCTTATACCTTTTTCCTAGTTAATAACCTTTTAGATAGCTTATTACAGACTGGCCACAGGTGTGGTCTTTGGAGTAAGATCTAGGGGACCAACTGATCTGGGGTAAGTGACTGGTCTCTTGGGACTGGGAGCAACCTGAATATGTGGTGTGATTTTTGATGTAAGTGACCATTTATCACTAAATCCAATTTGTCTGGGTGGCAGGATAATTTGGGGACTGTCTGTGACTCCATGGTGAGACTGTGACAGTGATCCAGGAGTTCACATTTGTTACTGGCATGGTGAAATCTGATTATAGACCACCAGCTTGGGGTGTCTGCCCTGTTTGTGACTGTCTGTCCTGAGGTCGCCAGTCAGGGTCCTGAGCCTCTCCAGATAGCGTGACCACCACCTCCTTCCCCTCCCATCCCAGCACAAGGCTGGGGCAGGCGCCTTGTTTTATGGCCTCTCTTATCTCTGCTCCGGAGCTGTGGGGGGACTTTAGTCTGGGCCGGGGAGGCAGGCACCCTGCCACAGCTATGCAGACCTGTGGTTTAGAGATGCTGCCCAAGGCATAACACAGGGGACTGGGCACAGGGCAAGGGAATCCCCAGCCTCTGTGCCTACAGCCTTTGCCCACTGAGCCAGCCCCAGCGCTGGGGGTTGGTGGAGGGAGCCTTGTCCCGCCCCTGCAGGGAACGAGGGGCAGGGGGTGATTGAGCAGAGTAAACCAGCCACCAAGGGCCCAGACGGCATGCTCCTAGCGGGGTCCCCTCCCAGTGGACATGACCCTGATGGGGGGAGCGCATGACAGCTCTTGTGTCGCTGTGATTCACACATTTAAAGGGCCAGCACTGCACCAGGGCAGTAACTTGTTTTTCCCCGTAGATCACGTCCAGACTCCATGGCACCATCCCTCACCAGGGAGTGCCCTCTGCAAACCCTGCTCTCTAAATCCCCAGGTGGGCAGGGGGGGCACAGATTGTTCCTCACCCCCCACTTGGCAACCAGTCCAGCAAACTCCCTGCAGCCCAAGCCTGCGTTACCCTTTGCCCGAGGCCCCTCTGTCAGGAGCTTTCCTGGGGGCAGCAGTGGGGTGGGTGTGTTAGAAGGGCTGGCGATGCGTTGCCACTGAAGCTGCACTGCCAAGATCCCAGAGGAAGGGTCGGGCATCCCCAGCCGGCGTGGAGCTCCCTGCAGCTGGGCCTCCCCTCCGGGGGCATGCTCCCCCCAATGGAACCTCAGGGTATCAGGAACAGTCAACATGGATTCACCAAGGGCAAATTATGCCTGACCAACCTGATTGTCTTCTATGATGAGATAATTGGCTCTGTGGATATGGGGAAAGCTTGACTTTAGCAAAGCTTTTGATACGGTCTCCCACAGTATTCTTGCCAGCAAGTTAAAGAAGTATGGATTGGATGAATGGACTATAAGGTGGACAAAAAGCTGGCTAGATCATCAGGCTCAATGGGTAGTGATCAATGGCTTGATGTCTAGTTGGCAGCCAGTATCAAGCGGAGTGCCCCAGTGGTCGGTCTTGGGGCCAGTTTTGTTCAACATCTTCATTAATGATCTGGATGATGGGATCAACTGCATCCTCAGCAAGTTTGCGGATAACACTAAGATGTGGGGAGAGGTAGATAAGCTGGAAGGTAGGGATAGGGTCCAGATGGACCTAGACAAATTGGAGGATTGGGCCAAAAGAAATCTGATGAGGTTCAACAAGGACAAGTGCAGAGTCCTGCACTTAGGACGGAAGAATCCCATGCATTGCTAGAGGCTGGGGACCAACTGGCTAAGCGGCAGTTCTGCAGAAAAGGACCTGGGGACTACAGAGGACGAGAAGCTGGATATGAGTCAACAGTGTGCCCTTGTTGCCAAGAAGGCTAACGGCATATTGGGCTGCATTGGTAGAAGCATTGTCAGCAGATCAAGGGAAGTGATTATTCCCCTCTATTTGGCACTGGTGAGGGCACATCTGGAGTATTGCATCCAGTTTTGGGCCCCCCACTTCAGAAAGGATGTGGACAAATTGGAGGGAGACTAGCGGAGGGCAACGAAAATTATGAGGGGGCTGGGGCACATGATTTACGAGGAGAGGCTGAGGGAACTGGGCTGGTTTAGTCTGCAGAAGAGAAGAGTGAGGGGGGATTTGATAGTGGCCTTCAACTACCTGAAGGGGGGTTACAAAGAGGATGGAGCTCGGCTGTTCTCAGTAGTGGCAGATGACAGAACAAGGAGCAATGGTCTCAAGTTGTAGTGGGGGAGGTCTAGGTTGGATACTAGGAAACACCATTTCACTGGGAGGGTGGTGAAGCACTGGAATGGGTTACTTAGGGAGGTGGTGGAATCTCCATCCTTAGAGGTTTTTAAGGCCCGGATTGACAAAGCCCTGGCTGGGATGATTTAGTTGGGGTTGGTCCTGCTTTGAGCAGGGGGTTAGACTAGATGACCTCCTGAGGTCTCTTCCAACCCTAATCTTCTATGATTCTATAATTGTTCCAGCCTCACCCCCTCCGGCAGGTCACTGCGTGGGGAAAGATGCCCTCTCTGGCTCCATCCCACTGTTCCCAGGGTGGTGAGACACCAACCCAGAATCCTGGCCACTTTGGTCACTGCAGGTCCCATGCCCTTCACAGGCCCGTTAGCGTCATGGTCCTGGCCACATTCCCATCACTCTACGCTCATTGTCCTCTTCCACAATTCCCTGCTTGCTGATTGGCTAGGGCGTCTGAGCCGCATAACAACTGCACAGTTGTTTCTCATTAACTATAGAGGGCTTGTGGGATGCTGTCTCGCCTATAAATCCCTGGGGTGGATGGCTTCCCCACCAACCATCCCACAGCAAACATGGCAGCCTTGACTTGTGACATGTGTTCCCATTCCATCACCCAGCTGTGACGTTATTGACTTAAACTGTAACCATATAGATAGAGCATTGTTGCAACCACTGTTATATATTTGCAGCAAATATTGTACAAAGGTTGTCAAGTGAGGTGTCTATGGAAAGGTTGTAGTTTGCTGGTTATGATTATGCTGTCTGCATGTGTGTATCAGTTTTGTATTTGAAGTTATGAATATTGGATATGTACTTGTATCTCAATGTGTTTGATTCTAAGTAGCCTCAGTGAAGCATTAGGTCAGCTTCTTGAGAAAGGACTATTCTCAGTAAGTGCCCAATCAAGAAACACTTAACTGACAATGGACTTTGGGAGATGCCAATCCACATCTGAGCTTTCCTAGGAATGTTCAAACTAACATGTAAACAATGGCGTCGGCCTGCAAAAAGCTGAATCATTCATAGACATGTGACATGCCCAGGTGGCTACAAACTCCATCTTGTTGCTGTGATTTTGCACAGGAGAACAAAGGGGTTTCCGCCCACAAGAGAAAGAATATAAAAGGCCCTGGAAACCTCTCCATTTTGTCTTCAATCCTGCTTCTTACCTCTGGAGGAACTTTGCTACAAATTGAAGCTCTGAACAAAGCACTGATGACTCATCCAAGCTGTGGATGTACTCCAAAGACTTGAGTTGAACCTGAAGTTTGTTCCATCACTGCTACAAGCCTGAACCAAGAACTTTGCCATTACTGTATGTAATTGATTCCATTTAACCAATTTTAGCTCTCATCTATATTTCTTTCTTTTTATGAATAAACCTTTAGATTTTAGATTCTAAAGGATTGGCAACAGCATGATTTGTGGGTAAGATCTGACTTGTATATTGACCTGGATCTGGGGCTTGGTCCTTTGGGATCGTGAGAACCTTTTTTCTTTTATTGGGGTATTGGTTTTCATAACCATTCATCCCTAAAACAAGTGGTGCTGGTGGTGATACAAGAGAACTGAAGTATTCAAGGGAATTGCTTGTATGACTTATGATTAGCCAGTGGGGTAAAACCAAAGTCCCCTCTGTTTGGCTGGTTTGGCGTGCCTTAATAGTAAAGGAATTCCAGCTTTGGGTTGTAACTGCCCGGCTCTAAGCAATTTGTCCTGAATGGATACTCTCAGTTGTGTCCCGCCAAAGGCTGCATCGTTACACCAGCCAACCCCCGTTATTCCAACCCGTTTATCTCATGAAGGAATTCACTACGTGGGACTGGGCGGAGACAGGGTCAGAAGGTCAGGCGGACATTTTTGTTGTGGGCATGACCTTGGGGCGCCAGTCAAAGTGAGAGATCTTCCCAGTTATGGAGTCGGGCCCCTTCTCCTGATCTGCTCCCGGGTGGAGAAAGCGGCTCAGTTATGACGTCTGTACTAATCCCATAGCAGCTTCAGAGCAAGGATGGAGACTCTTCCCCATGCTGGCTCCAGGGTCATTCCCAGCACTAGCTCTGCCACCATGGGACCAGTGTCCCCCTGCCACAGCTGGGGCCGGAAGCAGGGAGCTGTGTCTCCAGGGGGTGGGAATGACACCCGGAAAGGGGAAAGTGGCCAAGGCTGGTGCCACAGCTGGAGGCAGGGGCGGGGCTGGCAGTGGAGCCCCGGGTGCAGGGCTGGGAGCCCACTTGCAGGGCCAGAGGGAGCAGAGCCCCGGGAGCAGGGCTGGCAGCCGGGAGCCCACATGCAGGGCTGGCAGCTGGGGCCCTGGGCACAGGGTACCAGGCACCCCCCGCAACCCTAGTTTCCACACCTATGCATGGGACAGCTTAATCCATGGGGATAACATGACGTGATCAGCCCAGAGATGGACCCTCACTCACATCATTCCTGCTGGTTGGCCTATGCACCTGTCCATCGTCCCAGTCACGGTACCTCAACTAGGGTGGCCTGCTCCTCCCAGTATCCTTCCCAAGCTAGCCCGGGAAATGAAAGGGGAAGTTGTTTTCGGCCTCCCCCCCGGGGCCAGCAGAACAATCGCACAGCTGGAGTGAGCATGGCCCCTCCTACGAATGCAATAATCCCCTGCCCCTACCTGGTTCCATGCCCTGAGCCAGCCCTGGGGTGGGGCTCTCCGACCTCTCTGTGGGTTGCCCATCTGCTGGCACCAAGGACCCGTTGGGGACTTCCCAGCCTTTCTTCTTGTGAATGTCAGCAGCCATTCCTCAGAGGCTGGCAGGGACCTGCACACAAAGGAAACTGTCAGCCCTCCATGTCCCGCTGCTCTCTTGCCTGGTCTTGCTGCTCCCCAGCGTGGGCAGACGGAAGCACCACGACACAGTGAGCATCGCATCAGAGCGGTGGTGAGGGGGGAAACCTATCCAGGAATGTCTGGGTGGGGTGGCAGCAGCAATGGGGAATGGGCCAGAGGGTAAGTAGTTCAGCTCCAGGCCATGATCAAAGAGAACTGACTAGGGGGAGGAAACAGCTGGGCATGTTTCTGGTAGCACATGGAGCAGGAGTGTAAAAGCCATCTCAGCGCCACCTATCCATAGCAGGTGGGACACATCTACGGGAGGTACCTCTTCTACGTCCAGGCTGAGATCACATCCACGTTACTCAGCCACGGGAAGGGCCTGGAGTTCTCTCTTCCATTGTGGGAGTCATGCCACAAAAGGGACAGTGGTAGATGGGGATGGGTCCTGGGGAGGGTGACAAGGGAAAGGGCATGTCCTCTGAGCAGCCCTGACAACCTTTCAATGGGTGCATGAGGAGCAGAAGCATCGGGACGATCCTTGGAGCGCCACTGGCTGCTTTGGGCCAAGAGGATCAGTTGGAGTAGCCGAGTGGGGAAGAGTGGTCAGAGGGAACAAGACCCATCCCTCATCAATGGGGCCGGTTGGTCTGAATGAGGGGAAGCAATGGCTCTAGAGATCCCCAGAGCAGTAACATAATGAAAGGGGGTGGGAGCTGGGTGAGAAGGGTGAGAAGCTGGCATGGGGAGTTAGTCAAGCATGGCTCATTCAGTCACTTCCCCATGGCTGGCCCCAATCCCGATCAGACTCCTGAGCCAGTTGGATGCCAGCGCCTCACCAGGCCAGTGGGAGCATGTGGGCAGGAGGAATCGGAGTGGAGCCTGGATCCTTCCAGTGCAAGAATCCCCCCTTCCTCACCCACATTCCCCAGGGCTTGGCTCTCACCAGGAAGAGCTCCTCACCCCGCTAGTTTAAGCAGCTCCATCCCAGCCACTCACTGGCTGCGGAGTGATGGGGGAGCACAGGGGAGGCCAAAGAGATGGGTGTTCTGTCCGTGCTCATCCCTGCCCCCCTTGTTCTTAGGCCTGTCACTAGCACCATCCCACCACTGCTACTGATTGTTTTCTTGGCGTCAAGCAAAGATGTTCCGAAATGGCTAGAGACGAGGCTCGAGCTCTGCTAGGAGCGGGGTGGCGTAGTGGATTGAGCGCTGTAGGGGGGCTCAGAAGAGGCAGGCTCTATTCCTGGTTCTGCTGCTGGGTGACCTCCCTGCCTCAGTTTCCCCATCTGTAAAAGGGATAATGCGGACCTTCTTTGTAACATGCTTTGAGAGCTAAAGACAAAAAAGCACAGCCTCCTTGCCTAGCCCTTGAGCAGAGCTGAGACTTTGGTCACATTAGAATTCGCCACCTAATTCTCCTGGCTCGGTTGGAGTGCACAAACTCCTGGAAAGGCGTCATGAAAGCTGCTCTAATCCCAGCAGGGTTTCCTCTGTTCCACAGTCCTGTATAATGGATCCCATTGGTTTTCTCTTTCTAGGGCCTGAGGCCAACTCATTGGTCCCCTTGTTATTTGTTGTCCTGGGTTTGGGTTGAATTCACCTCTGTGCCACATGAGTGCCTAGCCACCACTCAAACCACACTGGAGTCCTGTGACACTAGCCCGTGCGCTGGCTCCTCTGCCCAGCCTGCCCTTTGCACTGGCACTGCTTCACCTCTCCCTGCATTCAGCATATGTATTTGAAATGGATAGAGCACAGAAAAGAGAAGGAGTGGCTTAGCCAACCGAACAATATCGATACTTCGCTCTTACCTAGTGCTTTTCATTGATAGATCTCAAAGTGCTTTACGGAGGAGGTCAGTACAATTATCCCCATTTTATTAATGTGGGAACTGAGGCACAAGGAGGGACATGATAGGCCCAAAATCAACCAGCAAAGCAGTGGCAGAGCCAAACATTGGTCCCTGGCCTCCTGGGTCCCAGTCCACTGAATCACCCTGCAGTAGCCTGTAAAGTTGCTAGCGGTGATAGTCTATCTCATTGGATAGGGGTTTTTTCCCCCCAGAAAACCTGACAAGCCATTTTCACATAAAAAGTTGGATAAAACACCAAGTGCGGCCTACAAAAGCAATGCCATGCGTGAGCCTCGAGTTTGTTTTCCTTCATGGTGCAATAAGTTGTTTTTTAAATATGCTCATGTTTGGCCATCATTTTTCGTAACTGGTGGTTCATCTGTCAGCAGAACCCGGCACATAAAATCTTCAGAGAATGCCATGGAGAATTGGCCACTCTCTCCTAGGGCTTCAAAGAGGACTGAGGCCACAGGGTTCCCTCAGCTTAGCTGCCTTTATTCAAAACAGCCACCATCGCCTATTCCTCTTCAGGGGACAGGTGGACCTCGCATGCTGAGGAAGAGAGAAGTACTGTGAGGACTAGGTGAATGGAGACATGGGCAGCCTGTGTCCCCCAGAGAACAGTGGGAGACTGCAGCTGTTTTGAAAGTGGGCAGATTTTTGTGGAATTCTCTGAATATTATTATTCATCCTGCCTCCTTATCCAGTATGGCCAACCTCAGGAGAGCCAAACTCATGAGTTGGACCCCCACATACTATGCGGTTGGCCCCCCAAATCATGAGACTTCAAAAACATCCTCAGGCCATGGTTCCTGGCCTGTCTTTTGCCTTTCTAACTCCCCTCTACTCCTATGGCTCTGCATGTGTGATCCTTTCAGGTTGACAAGGCAACCTCCAGTACACACTGAAATACACCCCTCCCCTGGCTGCTCAGAGGGAGCCCCCACTTACCCTCTCCGCACCGCTGAGATGGGGAGCTGCCATCCCCTGCCTATTACTGCCTTGACTCCCCCTCCCAGGCCTTGCTGCCCCCCGAGGCTTCTCTCCTACCTGGATCCCGAGGCGAAGAGAAGTGATGAGGCGGCGGGAGGCATTGCTGGTGGGTCCAGAAGACCCTCCCCCAGCCTCACTGGAGGGTGGTGACCCATCAGGAACTGCCATGCTGCAAAACAGCCTGATTTGTGTTGGGCCACAGCTGGCATGACGTTGGGACATGACTTGGCCAGCCCAGGCCTGTCACATAGCTCTGAAATGTTTCTGCTTAGGCTGGCACCATGTCGTTGGGAAACCAGATTCCAGCTGCAAGTGAGGTGAAGAGGGCCAATGTTCAGATGCAGCACTTAAGTGAGGTTAACGCCAGGTGTGCCCATGGATCCCACGCGTGGCTTCAGAGATCAGGTAAGAGCATGAGCCAAAGGGCCACTGGGCGCAGTGGCATGGTTTATGTTTGCACACGCAGGATTCGCAGCACAGCAGTGGCACATGAACACATTGGGGTGGGTGGGTCTGAGCACACTGAAGTCACGGGGGCAGGCTCAAGACCTGTGGGGAGCATTGAGCTGCCACCTTTAACACTTTAAAGGATTGGGGCCTGTTTTATAGCGCCTCTTTCTGGCTGCGACCTAGGCTTGCACTTGCTGGGCCAGTGCCTTCCCTGGGGGAATTCTGCCTTAAACCTTCTCACCGAGCCCAGGGAAGGTGGTTTCTATTTGTTTTATTGCAAGTCTCCTCAACAAACAAGATCATCTTTCCCACCTCTGTCCCTCACATCTGTCAGTTCATCACCCCAAAAGCTCCTGGCTCTTACCTCAGAGCCTTGTGGTAACAGGACTTCCCACAGTCTGGCACTGTCCATTTGTCTCTTAGAGCAGTTCCGCCCAGCAGTGGCCACAGCCTCTGGCAGGTATTGCAGCCCCCCTTCCATTTCCTGCTCCTCCTTCTATGAGGATCAGCCAGTTAAGGTGCAGCTCTTTCCCAGGTGCAGCAGCAGGGCTAATCAGCCAGCCAGCTGCTGTCTCTGATCTCAGTGGGATGGTAGGTATCCCCTTATAACGTTACAGGGCCCAAATGTTCTGAATGGCAGAATATAAAGCCCTGGAGGCTGGGTATCAGACTCGTTCATTTTCTGCTTGTGGGCAGAGCAGAGGCTGAAATAGAATCTGGATCAATGAAGGTCTATCACGGCAGTGCACAAAGTGGCAGGCCTGCTTTGGCTGGAATTACACTAAGGACAGATATAAGTAGTTAACACATACTGCAAGGGACCATTAGCTACTTGTGCTAAACAACCTGCTCCACTTCGTATTTAGCTGTGACACTGAATACCTTTTCCAGACTTGCAGAAGAGCTCTGTATAGCTAGAAAGTTTGTCTCTCTCCCCAATAGAAGTTGGTCCAATACAAGATATTACCTCGCACACCTTGGATCTCTAATATCCTGGGACTGACACGGCTACAACAACACTGCATACTCAGGCCAGACAAACAGATTCCTTTCTTCTCTCCGAACAGGCACGTTTCAGGAACTAGCAAAGGGAACTGAAAGCAAAAGCGGGACCTGAAGGCAGTGCATGAACCTGATCTGGGCCTAGCCCTGGTGCTTTAGCTTTACTGTCTTTATCTGAGACCTATGTAAGGCCGGTTGCCACAGTGCAGACTCTGAGCTCTGTAGTTTGCCTCAACAGTTTGCCTCATCTCCTGTTCTTAAACAGTCTGAAAAGACCAGCATTCAGGGCTCTGTGCTGCTTCTGCAACAGTGGCTTGCACAATGCTTAGCACAAATCAAGGAACTACATGCGTCTTGCTGCGTTAAGGGTGGCGAAGCATCAGCTATCACAGGGGAAGCTCTGACCTCAGATCCTGGCTGGGGCCCCAAAGGATTAACTGATTTTCCACAATTCTGAAATGCAGCCATTTGTACAAGACACATCTTCACATCTCCCCCCTTTCAGACCACGTTCCTGTTGACTATCTGAAGGCATCTTACAGCTGTCATTCTGTTTAATGAGTTACAGGTCTAATGAGGGTGGCATTGGCTCTGGGCCCAGGGCAATAAACAGCTAAACAAACAAACTTTTGCCCTCTTCAATTCCTGTGCTGAAATACTCCCTCCCTCCTTCACCCACAGTTCTCTGCAGCAAAACCAAATGCAAGAAGTGAAAGGCAGCACTTGCGGGACAAGTGTGTATCTGCTACTACCAGTATCAGATGGGCCCTATCAATCGACTCCCATTTGGAAAGGCTTTCGATTCTGAGATGCCAAGGCCAGAAGGGAACCTTGTGATCATCTGGTCTGACTTCCCACATAGCACAGGCCAGAGAACTGCCCCATGATAATTCCTAGAGCAGATCTTTTTGAAAAGTATCTAAGGATGGAGATTCCACCACCTCCCTAGGTAACCCTAGGTAATCAAAATGTCACGTGGTGCCAAGTCAAACACCTTAGAAAAGTCTAACATATTACATCAACCTTTATTAACCAAACTTGAAAAGATATCAAGGTAGTTTGATGGGATCTATTTTCCATAAACCCATTGATTTGCATTAATTAACCTCCTTTAATTCCTTATTAATCAAGTCTCATATCATTCTCTTGCTCCATTCTCTTGCCCAGGATCCATGTCAAGCTGACCAGCCTATAATTACCTGGGTCAATTTTAAAAACTGGCACAACATTAGTGTTCTTCCACTCCTCTGGAATTTCCCTAGTGCTCCAAGACTTATTTAAAAAAATCAATATTAATAGTCCAGCATGCTCCTCAGCCAGCCCTTTTGAAACTCTTGGATGCAAGTTTGACCTGCTGATTTAAAAATTAGTTAGTAGATACTGTTCAACATCCACCAGAGATACTAATGAAATGGGGAGAGTGTAATTACTATGTGATGAGACTGTATCATCTGATCCTCCCCAAATACAGAACAGCAATATTTATTTAGCACTTCTGCCATTATTACTGATGATTCCACCGTGTCCATTAAGTAATGGACCAAGACCATTGCCAGGATGCTTTTTATGCCCAATATATTTTAAAAACTCATTGTCCTTAACTCTGCCGGCCATAGATTTCTCGTATCCCTTGGCTTCCCTATCAGTTTTCTACAATTCTTAACTTCTGATTTATATTCATTACTATCAACTTCCCTTTTCCTCCATTTGTTGTATTTTTTTTATAACTGCCCTCACTTCCTCTCTAAACCAGGTCAGCTTTTTTAACCAGTACAGCCTTCCCTCCTTGATTGTGGCTTTTTGGGCATCTGCTAACAATGTTCTGAAATGATTCCCTGTTATCATTCCCATTTTTCTGATTAAATTCATCCTCCCAGCTGATTTGGCTCATAATTGTTTTCAGCTTTGTGAATACAGCACTATTAAAGCACCAAGGGTACATATCACTGGTCTGATCATTACTCTGCATGCACGTTATAAATGCAGTTAAGTCATGGTCACGTATACCTAAGTTACAGTGAATTTTTAGTTCTCTTTAAAAAGTGCAGCGCTGCTGGAAGCTTCTCCCACAGCCCTGCTCTAGCACACCAGGTACTGTCCGGCACAGCTGCTGCTTCCAGCCATGGCAGATCTAACCCTAAGTCCTGCCGCTTCCCCTTCCTGTCGCTGCAAACCTCTGTCGGTAGCCACTTATGGATTCTCTGGGCGCTGGCAGCAGGGGTTCCCCAGCTGCGGAGTTGGTGAGCAGAGGCATCACTTGGCACTGCAAGGGCCGGGGCTGCAGTGGTTTCTCTGACTGGCCCAGCTGGAAAGCAGCTGACGAGGTCTGTGCTGCACTCAGCTTGAGGGGTCTCACTGGTCACTTCCCAGCAGTGGGATTTCACCAGTGACAGACACAGGGAATGGGATGCGGAGCCTTTGGGCTGCTGGTTTGACTTTGGCCCAAGATGGTTGTGATCGCAGTTCCCATCTAGTTAGGTGGGCTGTGGGAAATGGGCTTTGTGGGCAGGTGTTGACATCAAGACCACCGCCACTGGAAACCCACCGCTGTCACTGGCATGGCCCAGCACCTGGGCATGAGGGCCCTTGGGTGGCAGGGGAGGAGTATGCCCTGGTGCTCCTGGGGGCTGTGCTTGTTCTCTAGGTTTCAGGACTCCCAGCCTGGCACTTTCCACCAGCACTTATCTGGGCTTGTGTTGTCTGCCCCCATCCTCCCCCAAACTGAGATGAGGTAAGACCAGACGGAAGCACAGCCGGGGGTGCAGGGATGCCCCTGTTTTCCCCTCACTGTCCTTGCCCCACCCTGACCCTGCCTTCACCCCCAACGCAGGAGGAGCCCCTCCCCGCACAGGAACACTGGCAGCTCGCTGCCAGAGGGAGACCAGGCATATCTCTCGCTTGGGCACCCTTCCTTGCAGACCCCACTCGCTATGCCTAGGAGATGTCTTGGAGGTGGCAAAGAAGCGCCACAGCCAGAGGGGACAGGCTCCCTGGGGCGGCTGGACCTTGGAGAGCAGCGTCGGGGACACGCAAGGACAGAGAGAGACTCAAAGGGACCAACCTGTGCGGTTCTCCCAGCTGCGCTCGGGAGGCCCTGCTTCGCAGCTCTGGCAGGAACCCAGCGTCAGTGGCTGCTTTGCGAAGCCTAGACAAAGGGGGAGGGAGGGATGCCCCGGGGGGCCCTCGGCCTGCCTGCTGCTGCCTCCTCTGGACACGCTGTCATTGTAATCGCAGACACACTGTACAGGGCGTCCAGCCAAGCTTGCTCCTGCTGAGTCCAGCCAGGAAAGCATTGCACAACTGCTTCTCCTCTAGCTCCGTTTCCAGTGTTACACACCCCAGTGCAGCTTGGGGATTGTAGTCCACAAGGATTCAGTGCAGTCTGCTGGGCAGCAATGACACTTGGCAGATAAAAAAGGCCTCACGGGTCACTTGGGCCGCCCAGTCTCCCCCACTCTGGGGACTAGTGCAGTGCTGGTCCCCGCAGCGGTCACCAGTGCTTTGTCCAGCAGTTTGACGCAAGCTACTGCTGCGAAACCCTTAGCACAGAGCAGCCTGCGTGAATGTTCTCCTCTATTTCCATTGCACTGTGCTCAGCTGTGGTGCTGGCTGCAGTGCAACCAGACCCAGAGGCGGGCCAAAGCCCAGGGGCTATGCCTGTCTAATAACATGCCTCTGCTTCCAGGGTAGGGTGACCAGATAGCAAGTGTGGAAAATTCAGGATGCTATTTTTCCAGGGGGGAGGAGTATAGTTGCGTATATAAGCCAAAGTCCCTAATATCGGGACGGTCCCGCTAACACTGGGAGTCTGGTCACCCTGTTCCAGGGAGAGGAACAAGTTCAGTACAAGGGGGCTTTCTGATGATAGAGTGCAGCAGCCTGAACTCTGATGAGAGCAGAGAGAAGCCTGCACCAGTGACCCACAGCCAATGTGCTGCACCAGGGTCTGATACACCTGAGCTCTGGCATCACTGAGGTGTTTTACCAATGTTTGTTTTCTGTAAATATGCTCCTTAATTCTTATGGTTCTATAGAGATGGTTGGAGAGGCAGGTGAGCAGTAAGGTAGCAAAGTTTTCTGAGGACACAAAGCTATTTAGGTTAGGACCAGAGAGGACTAGAGCAGAACTTCAGGGAAACCTAACCAAGCTAAGGGAATAGAGAATATGACAGCAAATGCAATTCACTGATGGCAAGTGCAAAGTTATGCACTTTGGAACAAGTTAAGCTACTTGACGTCTTTCAGGGGTCCAATTTAACTGCATCAACACGAGAAAGAGATCTAGGTGTCATTGTAGGACAGCTCAGTGGAGAGTGCTGCTCCATGGGGAGGTGCAGTCAAACAAGCTAATGAGATGTTCGGGTTAATGCTGTGGAAATAACTGATTCTTCAGTTTGGTGGCTGAACTGAAAAAGAAGAAATTTGTCTCAGGTACAATTAAATGTTTTGTTCTACCTAAAACTAAAATTGTTTATTTTTCGGTTTGCCTCCACTTTAAAATAAAACAAATAAATTTCAAAACAAAAAGTCATTTTGAATAAAAAAAAAAAATCAAAACATTGTTTTGAAAATGTCCTAATTAAAAAAAAAAAAGTTTTACACATTTTGTCCCCCACCCACCGCCAAAACAATTCAGTAGCTTTGACATTAATTTGAAAAATGTTTCAGCTGACCCAAACCCACATTCAGGAGCGCCACCAGCTTTTCTGCCGCCCTAGGCAGCAGAAGGTCCCGCCCCAAAATGCCACCCCCCACAGAGGCGGCAGAAGGTCTCGCCGCCAAAATACCGCCGCGGTCGCCGCCCCCCAAATTGTAGCACCCTAGGTGACCGCCTAGGTCGCCTAATGGGTTGCGCTGGCCCTGCCCACATTTTTTGGTGGAAAAAAGTTTTCTGTTGAAAAATTTCACCCAGCTGTAGTTTGGCTGCATAGGATGGAGAAGAATATGGAGAATATTCTACTACTTTTATATAAAACAATGGTGTGGCCCCCATCTACGTGTGGTACTAGATACTCCATCTCACATGGGATATTGCAGAACTGCTGTTCAGAGAATGGTGACGGGAATGATCCAGGGTCTGGAGAAACTCCCAGGAAGAGAGATTGGAAAGACTGGGATTGTCACTTTAGAAAGGAGATGAATAAGAGGGGAGATGATAAACGCATATAAAATAATGACTGATCTATTCTAGAGAATTGTATGCAGTGTAGTTGTAGCTAGGTTGGTCACAGGATATGAGAGAGACAAGGTGGGTGAGGTAATAGCTTTTATTGGACCAGCTTCTGTTGATGAGAGAGACAAGCTTTCAAGATACAGAGCTTCCTCAGGTTACTCAAAACTTGTCTCTCACCAACAGAAGTTGGTCCAATAAAAGCTATTCCGTCACCCATCTGATCTCGAGAAGTCAGATAAGGAGTAGGTGTTCTCCCTGTCTCATAATACAAGGACAAGGGACACAAAGTTAAAAGGTAGGAAATCCAAAACTGATGAAAGGAATTTTCCCCCTCACAGTCTGTAATTAGACTGCAGAACTCACCACCACAGGATGTCATTGAGGCAAAGAATTAAGATTTAAAAATGGATTGGTTATTTATATGATATCAAGACTATTCATAGCTGTCATAATTAGTGACAACACAAATTTTGGATGGGGTAATTAAACCTCATGCTTTAGGACTTAACCCCATCTCTATTAGAGGCCAGGATGAGACCTAATGAGGGGGGCGGGTTATCCCACATCTGCTACTGCACAGGATTCTTACTTTCCTCTGCAGCATCTGGTGACAGCCCCAGGATACCCGACTTGGCAGACCTTGGCTTGGACACAGTCTAGGAATTCTTTTGTTTGCCAAAATAATGGAATAGCTAAAAGTCTGCAGACAGTAATTGCCAGGATCACTCTCCTGTCCTTTTTTGGAGCTCAGTACTGCATTCATGTTTTTCTTCCTATCCTAGACTTCTCAAAAACATCTTTCACTGTTTCTTCATGCTCTAGAGGCCAAGCTCATGCCCAGGGTAACCTTACCAAAGTCAGGGGTGTTACAGCAGAGATGAGTTTGGCATCAGGCATCGTGAAGGGGTTCCACTCACTGCAAGTGCACTTCCTTGGGCTAGGTGTGGGAATTAGCTTTTACCTCCATCTGGCACCCTCTTCCATCAGTTATTCATGCTATGCCCCCCCTCTCTCTCTTTTCCCATGACTCAAGATGCTCCCTTTTTGTGATTCAGCCTCCTGGCCAGGTCACCCTGTGATCCCCCCCCCCACCTGCCTATACACTTCAAGGGTAACAGAGTCCCCCTTGCCTTCTCAGTCTTCTGTCCCAACTCCAGGTCCTATGGCAGCAGCTAGTAGGGGAACCCAGGCCCACCAGGTTCCAGCCCAGGTGGCCTAAGACTAGCCACATAGGTCTGCTCAGTCTCAGGCCATGTTGTTGTTTCCCTGGGTTCCTCCCCACTTCCCCTCTAGCTCCTGATTTACCACTACAGCTTCGTCCTCTCCCATGGCTACTTCATCTCTTTGGGCCTCTTGTACAACTCCCTAGTCCAGGCAGGGCCCTGGGGCCTATTCTCCCTCTATAGCACAGCACCTCCTTGTCCCAAGCCAACTCCCCTTCCCTAGGTGTAACCCACACACCTTCTGGGTGTGATGTTCTGTCCCATCCAGTGGCCCCAAGACCACTTAGAGAGAGATTAATGAGTCTGCTCTACAGCCTTAACTAAGAGCCATATGGCTTTTAGCTCATACAGTAGAGGCTCATGTACTAAGCTGTAGAGGTTCCAGGTTCAAGTCCACCTGCCCGAACAACAAAGGAAATCACTGCAAACCTCAACCCAGTGCTCCCTTCCTGGCTTTAAAACCCTATCCCAGGTGCACTTTATCTGCCATTAGGTGCTATCAATCCCTGATTCCCCTCCCAGTGCAGTGTCTAAGGTAAATTGGCTCCTCCTGACCCACATTAACCTGCTCAGGGCTTGTGTGGGGTGGACACCCCATCCCATGTACTCCATACATTTCTATGGTCAATATTTTCTGACTGTTCCTCCTTCTCCATTTCTAGGCTATTGATAACTGTGTCTTCCTTACTTTCTGCTAGAGAATGATGCACTTAATTGCTCATCCTGTAGGTTGAGCTCCCTGTATTATTCAACTTTTTAAGTGCAAATGGAGATCTGGTTGGAAGGGCTGGCCAGAGTGGGAGGGGGTGTGAAGGAGCTGTGGGGGTCTGGCTGGAATAGGGGTGGCAAGGGGCCTGGCTCTGGGGACCTAGCCAGAGTGGCAGGGGGTGAGGGGCCTGAGTATGGGGATCTAGCTGGAGTATGGGGGACAGCTGGCCTGAGTGGGGGGAAGGGGGAGGGTTACCACCTTTGAAATGCAAAAAACCCAGCACCCTTCCCACAAGGCAAGCCTGCCACAACCCCAACCACAAAGCAACTCCACCCCCACCCCGCAACAGCCACTTATAATATCTAGAGAGTTCACACATAGAGATAAGATTGATAATATCCCACATGTGTGACTCAAACCCTCTCTCACACCTGCGCGGTGCACTTGCGTGTTGGTGGGCAGGCAGCTGCTGTATTTTCAAGAGTTTTGATCTGTTATTGCTTACAGGAAGTGGGAAAACTGCAGCATCTTTAGCTGGACACAGAAACTTTTAACATTAGCTACCCCAGTGTATTGTGATAATAATGCAAACATTTAGACCATGTAAAAAATCCCAGCAGATTAAATTATTTTTCTGTCAACTGGCAAATCCATAAAAAAACAGGCCAGGCCAGTCAAATACCAGCCAGGTGGTAACTTTAGTGAGGGGTCTTGCTTGACTTGGTCAATTATCCCAGCCTTTATTTTCTTGTTAGGATTACAACCATTTTTGAACCCTCATTAATTTCACACACCCTCATTTATTAAATAGATCAACTTTCTGATTAACATAAGAACGAGCATACTGTGTCAGACCAAAGGTCCATCTAGCCCAGTATCCTGTCATCCGACAATGGCCAATGCCAGGTGCCCCAGAGGGAATGAACAGAACAAATAATCATCAAGTGATCCATCTCCTGTCATCCTTCCCAGATTCTGACAAACAGGGACTAGGGACACCATCCCTGCCCATCCTGGCTAATAGCCATTGATGGACCTATCCTCAACGAACGTATCTATCCTCCATGAATTTATCTTAATATTAATTAATTTTTATTTCCCCTGCTAATACACTTGACAAAATCTTACTCATTTCCCTTAATTTCTTTGACAGCATTAACTGAAC